CCGATACACATTTTTTTGCCAATATCGGCGTCCCGATCTGATCCACGTATCGGATCGGGACAAGCCTAGTAAAAACTGGTCAAAACATATACATAAGGAAGTGTAATTGCCCAGAGTTTAAAGATAAACAGTCCTGTTTGGTTCAGAAAGTCACAAAGCATTTTTACAGCTACAGATCAGCGGTTCCTGGGTGCGTTCTGGACCCCCACCTGCTTTAACTCCATCTACCTGAATGTCCTGCTCTGTCGGAGAGCCGGAGGATCGGCTTAGAATGAGAGGAGGGAGGGGTAAAAAAGGCCGAACGTGTAAAGAGGAAGAAGAAAGACTGGGCATGTTGCCTTTAGCTGCTGATGCTTAGGGAGAAAAGGAAGAGGGGAGGAGGTTTCGATGCGACTCCCCTCTTCCTTATACGGTCACACGCAGCATGGACACCAACAGAAAGTCCACTCAGGGAAAAACATCGGCTTTTAAAGCTTACATAAACAGCCGGGCCCACAGCAGGGAAAGGAAGAGGAAAGGAACGACGAGGAACTCTGGAATCTGAAAGGGAGTAAGCCGATAAATTCCTGAACTTTTAGCAGGCCCGCACGCAGAGACCTAAGGCCCCTTATTACATCAGAGGCTGCTCAGCCTGCTGGCTGTGGACTGGTCTGGAAGGGACGGGTGGGATCAGGGACATATTTGGACAATGAAGGGAAATCCAGCCACGAGGCTGAGTTTCCAATTGCCTTGAAGCATCATTTATCTGCCTGACCTCAGTCACCTCAGGGCCTTTTAGATCTCCTCCTTCTAAAAATATTTAGTTTTTCATGTTAAATCTTTAAACTTTAGAATGTATTTTAAGTGGCAGATCCAGAAAACTCTCACAGTAAAATCTAAAAGCTAAATATTTGTATTCCAGGGGATAACTATGACGTCTGTGCCATCTGCCTGGATGAGTATGAGGATGGAGACAAACTCAGAGTCCTGCCCTGCTCTCATGGTGAGTTTTCTTAAATTTAAGTCCGTCAAATCAGCAGGTGTAAAAACTATAGCAACAGCTGCAAATAACAATACACCAGAAAAGAGCTAAATTAAACATTCGATTTTGTTAAATCTGGAATGAAGAGCATCACCCTTTCAAAAAGGAAATGTTGCCTAACCCAGTGTTCTCCTCCTAGCCTACCACAGTAAGTGCGTGGACCCCTGGCTGACCAAGACCAAGAAGACGTGTCCCGTATGCAAACAGAAGGTGGTCCCTTCACAGGGCGACTCTGACTCGGACTCAGAGGAGGGCGACAGCGGCCCAGACGAGAACGAGGCCTCTGAGAGCACGCCCCTGCTGCGCTCCCAGGCCTCCACCAGCGCCCACTCCTTCGGCACCATGTCGGGAGCGTCGCGCTCGGAGCAGGACCAGGACTCCTCCGAGTACGACGACGACGGGCTGGACAGCAGCGACAGCGAGGAGGAGGTTACCGTGGGGACTGTGGTGGTGCAGATGCAGCAGCCGTGCTCCGATGAGCGAGATTTGCTAGCCTGAGTGGCAAACTCAGCTGCCCACCCCGACATCTGCAGACTTTAAGGAGGGGGCTTACAGATCTATCATATGTTCTTGTCACTGCGTACGTCGTACTGCTATCCTCTGTAGGAGTTCCAATGTTTTTAATCAATGGCGAGTTGGATGAGCTGCCCTGCCAAGAGGAAAGGACCCGAGTACAGTAGACTGTATTTATTCATGGAGACCAGAGGGTCCACCTGCTCCCATCATGCCTGACAGAGCTGCATATTGTCTGTATATATCAAGTATAAATCACCATAACTTTCATATTAACCTTTGATTATCTTCAGTCCCATGTGTGTAATATACACACAGATATACTGTATATAAATCCACCTTATATTCACCGGAACTGAACCAATATGCAGCACCTGCATTTCAGCTCACTATGGAAGCAAATAGTTACCATATTTCAAATGAAAGAGCGTTTTCATTTTAAGAATGTGGCTGCATTGTTTGACTCATAAATGAAATTAGTTATCAATAATCCCTTTTGCATTTTCTTCTTTAACAGTGCTCAACCTCTTACTCCGCTGTGTTTCCTCTTGATTATGGCATAAAATGTGCAGTTTTAAAGAAGAAAATTGCAAATACAAATAGGATGATTGATTACCAATTTCATTTATGAGTCAAGTAATGCAGCCACATTCTTTAAATGAAAAGGCATTTCTGGAAATGCTTTTTTATTTTCAAATTGTACATTTCAAATTGAATTTTGGTATGTATTTGCTGGGGTACATTTTGAAAAATAAATCTATAATGTCTTTTTTCATTTTAATCAAGTAAAAGGACAAGCAGTGCTAAAGAATAAAATGCATACAGGATTATTGATGACTAATTTCATGTATGAGTCAAACAATGCAGCCACATTTCTGAAAATGCATTTTCATTTGAAATATGGTAAGGATTTGCTTCCATAGCTCACAGCAATACTCAGTTGCCATTTTACTTTTAGGCCGTCTTGCAGTTTAGTGCCACGTTTTGTTTTTATGACTCATATGAAGTGCAGGACAGTGTTGATAGATTGATTTAAGGAAAAAAAAATGATTCAGCCTTTTGAGGCATAACTTTTTTTTTGTAATTTTCTGCAGTCAACTTTTTTTTTTTTACTAAACTTCTTAAATCTGGTTATGAAAATGTTCTGATATGGTTTAGAGGAAATGTGCAGGGTTCTTTTGTTTTATTCATCCACAAAATGACAATTCATGTTGCCTTTTTAGTTATAGTTCAATCTTTTCTTCCCACCCATGTACATGTTGAACAAATCGTAATAAACCCTGAACAAAACATTCCTGTTCCATGATTTTGTAAAATTTGGGCCACCCAGGTCATTTATTTTCTGCTCGACTGTAAACAGATATTCAATGGGACAGAGCAGCTAATTAAAACCTATACGTTCCAGTATGTAAATGTCATTTTTCTCAAGTATATTTAATTTCGACTACTTCTTATAGCTAATGTAAACCAAAGATCAGTTTGCCAGAAAACTAGAATAGGTGCCAAAGAAGGATTGCTATACTTGAAACAAAGAGCTGAGTGGAAGTGAAACTGATCGGAACATTGAACACCAATAACTAAAGGTGAGAGGATTGAGGCAAAACTGATGTTTGAGGCCATTTTGAGAATTTTGAAATAGATCAAATAGTAAGTTAGGTTCACTTTAAGATATGTGATATTAACTTTTTCTCCTGTTTCTATGTATTCCAAACAATTTCATAGTTTTAGATGCAGAGAAGGCAATCAGGACCCTGCAAATCGTTAAAATACTTTTATCAAATTTATATCCATGCTCCATAAATCAAAAAAGGTTTTGGATGAAGTTTGTCTGATTATTTAACAATTTCCCCTTTTTTCTCTGAATCTGGATCAACATCCATCATTTCCTGGATTTTCCTCAAAACCTCATTTGAATCTTTGCATTTACAGATCCTGCAAATCAGAGTTGAAAATGCTTAAAGTGCAACATGGTTGAAATAAAATCTCCATTACATCCAGAAGGGATTGTAAAATTGATAACCATAAAGTGGAGCATTAAACAAATTTAGGGCTGATTAAAGCACAACACTGGGCTTTATTTGGCAATATCAAGTGATGGTTTTTCAGGATTCCCGACTTTAAAGGAACATTTACTCAATTTTCTGCTCCTGTGCTGAGGAACCCTGTTCTTAAAAACTTACATTTTCATCCATTGGTTTCTCCAATGTACAGGCATAATTGGTATCTCCTACCCATCAGTTTAGTTCAGACATTTTAAAAACATAGCTTGGCATGTTTTTAGTTCTTAAGACATTTGAGGTCACAACATTAGCTTAATATCAGAGGCCCACGACCCACAGCCAAGTTACCCCCATATATCAAAAGCTATGTACCGGTAGCTTAAAATAAAAGGTCAAGTTTTTTTAAACCTAGTAATACCTTATATTTTTATGTAGTTGAAGATTTAGCAGAGTCTAACTTAAGCCCAATAGTCTAGAGAAACAGCCCTGGAAAGAAAAAAAATATATTTTTTTTTAGTTTTAGAACCAGTCTGCATTTTTAGGCTCAAAATTGAGCTCTGGTTAAACCTAGATAAGAATTCAGACCTTCAGAGAAGCAACCATGAGCAGTTCAGTTTTACCGCCTTCAGCAGAAACCGTTACCGCAGAAAAATAAGGAATCTTATTTTTCTTAGATCTTACTTGAAGTTCCAACCAAGGATTAACAACTTTAACCTGCAACTCCTAGGTCCAGCGCTTGTATTAATACAGCTCTGACAAGAAACAGCAAGCATTCCTCCAGGCCTATGACAGTAACGGAGCAGTTTCCATAAAATTAACAGCACACATGTAAAAGAAAAAGAGTAAACGTTGTTCTGGTTGGAATAAATTTATTTGATCTGTCTGTAAACAAGGTGATAACTCAATTTATGGCATTTCTTTGTTTATGCATACAACATCAGATGCATTAAAGACTGTATCCCAGATGTAAGAAAACAAAAGAAAAGGTGGCGAGGAAAGGAAATTAACAGATCAGCAAACAGGACTTGAACAGTGTTTATGAGTACACATATCCCACAAGGCCTAAACAGTTGAGCTGACGCTACAAAGTGCCGATGAAATGACTCCTTAGCCAACAGTGGGTTAAAATCCTTCTTTCAGATCTCTGCATTATGGCACAGGATACACAGGTTCTTAAGTTTCAACAAGACAACCATGAGCATCTTTGTTCCAACCAATACCATCTCCCATCGAGTGTCATTTTCTACTTTAGAAGTTAGTTTTTCAGTTGGACATTACAGTTAGCAGTTCTGAGCTTAGACTGATCAAGTCATGCCCCCACAGCTCAGCTGACTAAAGGCAATTTATTCCACAGTTATGTAGTTGTCAACACAGCATAGGTTTGTACAAATGCGTTTGTTTTTAACAGTAGTGAGGATTTTCTTCAGGTTCACCCTGCACTGTACCCCTTCAGTTTTAACTTCAAACATCTGCCTGATTAGTTTCCTTCATCAGAAAAAAATGTGTCATCCTTCACATGAGTTAAAGCAGTTGTATAAACACCCAGGCCGCAACTACACTTGGTCCTATAAAAAGAAAAAAAAAAAAAGGAAAAAACTGGACACGTTCCAGGTTGGTATATGCTGGGATATTTACTGTCCAAATAAATGGCAGCCTTTCAAAAATTAAAGCAAAAAAAATAAAATAAAATACAGAAAATGGCAAACTAAACAGTGTTAAGTGCCTGAGCCCGTTACTGTGGAATGTCCATGGATTTTGTGTTGGGATGGTTGTGATGCCAGGTGGGTGGGTGTGGGGAGGGGACCATCTGCATGGAATATGAACAGCACCCATGCAAAGACCACCCCCCCTTTCATCAAAACCATTCCTGGACAGTACAGCGACTCTGCTGGGAGAGGTGGGTAGTGTTCAGTAAAGGGTAAGAAGTTATGTAGTGTCGTCCGATTCGAGCCAAACTGATGGGGGAAGCTAAATAATTTGGCAAGAAGGTTAGTGTAAAGGTGGTAGAAGATAACAGATATGCACAGTCTCCCCCCCTTTACATGGAGGAAATAAAGGAAGACATGACGAGCTCTGTTGGAGCTCAAATGCTCCAAAAGGCATAGGCTGCTCAAGGAGGGAGTGTGTGATCTGTGAGGATTTAGTGGAAGGTACCATAAAACACAAAAGGAAAAAAAAAAATAAAAATCTACAATTTGATGCTATAACTTCCTTTGTCTAAGTGTTCTGTCAAAATCCTGTTTGTTTTTTTTGCTGGTCTCTGTTAAGTACAGATTTGTCATGACATCCTGTTTAGCAACATGCTCGTCTTTGCTATGGATCAACAGAAGAGTGCTTGTAAGGAGATATAAGAATATACAGAGCAATGTGTGGAGGAAAGGGGGTAAATGAGGGGGGGAGAAGGCAGAAAAATTAACTACAAACTAGGACTGGAAGTAGTGTGAAATGCAACAGGGTGGCAAGGGTGAACTGCTAGGTAGCTGGTTACAGGTTGCTTTAGTAGGAGAGCTTCCTCAGGTAATCAGCCATCTGATATGCTTTCTTGTTGAGCCCTCCGCCATGGACACCTTCTTTCCCCATGACAATAACCAATGCTGGAGTACACAAAAGGACAAAAAAAACAAACAAAAAAACCATGAACAAGAATGATGAGAGCAGGGATGGAAAAATAAAAACACTTTGCTCTACCTCTTAAATATGGGGCTACATTGATGCCCTGCACCCTTAAATGCTCCCTGGAGGATTTTATCTGATGAGACTGCCTGGGAGGGGGATATGGGCTTGACAGAAACCTTTTTTTGTCCTTTTGAGTTTTGTGTTTTTTGTTTTCCCTTTTATTTTTTTTTTTTGTATTTCCTCTGCTACGCCACAAAAGCTACTTCTAATCTAAAACCCTGAATCCCTCAAGTATTTTGCCATCGAGTATGCCTTCTTATTCAATCCGCCTCCATGGACCCCTTCTTTGCCCATTACCAAGACCAAGACTGAAAGAAAAGAGACAGAAGGAACATTTAGAAGGGAGGTGGAGATCACACAAGTGAAGAGAAAAAGCCAGAGCCAAAAAGCAGCAGGCAAGACAACCATAAAAAAGCTGTGCAGTGCCTTTGGTTTGAAGGTTGCAGGAGGGGGAGCCTTCATTTTCCTATCAGTGCTACTGGTGAGCCATGTCACAACAATAAATGTGAACATGACAGCAATAAATATTGCATGCACCTTGTTTGACAATATTCATTTTTCAGGATGAAAAAGCAAAAGCAGAGAAGCAGTCTAAAAGGCCATTTCCATTTAATCACCTCACCTCTTTGAAATAAACATGAGGATTTTGTTAAACTAAATAGCTTCTAAGAACTTAGGCTTCATATAAAGCTGTATGCAAACTAAGGTAACCCTATCAAGGACCTTAAAGCAGAACAAGATGAGGGAAGCTTGTCCTGTGAACACATCACTCAACTAGTTTCACAGATCATTGCTTTAACTAAAGATTTAATAAAGCAAAAACTGATTACATCTTTAAGGGAAAGTAAAAGCATAATGAAATATGCAGTTACTAAATTATTAGGTTTCTAAGTGTATGCTTGTAGTAAGCTATAAATGATAATCATTTATTAGAAATAACTCAATTATACTTTGAAACTAAAATTCTGGGACTATAGGAGATCTATGTTACATCAGAGTACTCTCCCTTTGTTTGGCTGATTTAGTGCCAGGGGGAGATCTTAATTTGGCCCTTCAAAGTCACTATACCAGCAGCAAGAATAAGAAAGTGAAGCTTTGAAACCAACATCACCAAAGACGTGTGCAGCAGCATGCTTAGGGTACCTCTCCTCAATACATGTTGGCACAGTGAAGCACCCAGAGCCTTATGTTGGGGAACAGATTGTTATATTAGAGACACAGAGGGATGTGTTAATTGAAAGGTGAAAGTAGCATGCGGTTCAGCGAGGCTGAAGGAAATCCTGCCCCAGAGGAGGGGGTAAGTGGGTAGAAAATTGGAATTTGTTTGCCTTGGAACATCCTCACCTGAAAGCTGCAGCAGAAGTAGGGAAATGGTGCACATAGGCTCACACAGACAACACAGAAACTGTCACAACCCCAGACAAGTCCATAAAGGCGTCTAATTTTACAGGCAACCATTCTAAACTGTAAATTAAAGGAAGGCAACAGAAGGTTGTTCATTTTCAGAGACCTGACTACACCTAAAGGTTGTAGGTTACAGCTGAATACACCGCTATGGCTAAATCTAAAATAGGCTATTACTCTTAACAAAAAGCCCCTTTAACATTAAGGTAAGCTGTGGTTAATGGGATTTGGTGGGACTCAAAAGGTTTATAGCCCAGATCTATAATAAATTGGACTTCAAATGTCAATTTACATTAAAGTTATCTTGCATTGAAATGCTTTAAACCAAGAAAGTGACAATAGTAAATTGTTAAAAAATATACAACTTTTGAGATTAAAGGGTAGCTTCATGTTATGCAAATCACTGTATTTCCTCAGCACGTTATACATCTAGTTTATATTCATTCAACTTTTGTTAAAAACTTCAATATCAATAACCCTCTCATCTTGCTGCACAATTCATACCCAAAATAATGTTTTTACAGCTGAAATAAACTTCAATTACAATCGTTCCCCATGTTAGAATTCTAGAAAAGTCATTTATACCTGCCATATATTGAGGAAAGGTGCATTCAACACCTCTACAACATGCACTTGCAACACAACCTAGAGTAGACCTACGAATACCACATTAATGCAGACTACAACAAATATGTAATGCAAATTATGTCTAAACAACAGTGCAGGTTTTACTTACCTTTGCCTGCTTTGCCTACAGAAATATTGTATGTTGGCTCCCCTCCTTGACTCTTTGTCCGGATGTCCATTGTCCAGTCGTTTTCAATTTGCAGGCTGTCTCTGATTACTGAGCACTTTTTACCACCTAAGGTCAGCCCACTGGTGAAGAAACCCTCTCGGTCCTTTCCTACTAACACATCGATTTCAGCCGGCTAAAAAAAAAAAACAGGACAAAGTAATAAAGTTAATACCATCGGGGAATTTTTGTTTTACCTTAAATATTTAATAACTGCCCCCAAAAAATTTTGTTTTTCAGTTGAAGGTCAATTAAAGGGAGCTTTTGGTAGTGTAATACAGTAAACAGTTCCCATTAATTGTTTAATGTCTCAAAACCAAAATTGTTGGAAATCAAGTTACATGTGACAAAAGTTTTTATTTATTTCCAATCCCAGAATAGAGGGCCATAGAAGTAAAACATAACCGTTTAAATATAAAGCTTTCAATTGAACCGGGAGTGACACTGGAAACCCAGACCAACGAGAAAGGGCTAAAGGTCAATTTAAGCTTCTGACGCATAGCCTCTGCAATTGTCAAATCTGTCTCTGTGCGCGACCACACCCCCCGTGCAAAGGTTTTGCAACCGTCGTTGCACGCCTCAAAAATAAAAAAATCCTGACTAGCCGTTGGACAGTTGCAAACCCACACAGACCTCAAGTGGAAGTGTGCAGACAAAAAGCAGCTGTGATTGGTCCTTGTATGCCTTTCTGGCCGTCTGTGTGGTCGTCCTCCTCGATTTGGTGCCGGGACGTGCTGCTTTTAAAAACGGAGGAACAATTGACAACTACAACGAAAGGTTAACCAGTCTTTTTGCCAAGTCCATTAACAGAACCTCTTCCATGTGTAGCAACTCTATATCCATCTCCGTGACATTTTACAGCCGCGCCATTGTTGTTTCGAAAGATAAACACTCCTGCTGGCGTCACAGAAGTTCTCGCAAGTTCTCGAATAGGCTCCCCCTTGCGCTTTGGCAGGAAACTGCCATGCATCCCAAGAAATTCCAGACCGACGGTGCAGAAGCACATCAGCAGATCTGGTTCACAACCAGACCCAAGTGACATTAGATGTGTGCAGTTGCAGAAGTATCATCTGCCCTGAAACAGCAAAGGGCAGACAAAAACCTAAAGGCCTGAAATGCTAAGTCATGGCAGAATATGACTGGAGAAGAAACTTGGGAAAAGAAAACTGCAGGGCTAAGATTAGCATAAAAGTTTGCAAAACAAGTCAAGTTAAACCAGTAGTTATTTCCAATGGAATTTACGAAATCCACTTCCCTAATATCAGATTTATATAAACATTTTCTGTTCTGGGTTTCATGAGATCAAAATCAGGCTAATTTTGAGCATAAATAGTCTGCTTTGGAAAAAGTTCAGCTGAACAGTGAAGCGTTTCGCTTGTTAACCTACATCTAACACCATGTCATTCTGAAAACTTCCTCATTTTTTTCCAACTCTTCTTTTCCTGACCAGAAACTTTTCCAATTTTTTCATAGTCCTATAGATTATTGAATTTCCTTTTAGATTGATGGATTAAATGTTATTTTGAATGTGCAGGCCCAAGATTTCAATGTATACTATGGTGGCAGGTTTACATAAGCCTGGAAGCTATTCTACAGCCCAGTACTCGAAATAAACGTTTTTACGTTTAGTGCAAAAACAAAAGGAGTTAAAAGAGCTGTGTCATGGTAAGTTTGCATGATGTCAAACAGGAGTGTTTTCTTTTTACCCCCTCTGCAACAGCATCGACGAAGAAATAATCTAAGGAGTTCGCCGGGTAGACACTCCCTGTAGCTTTAGCAAAAGGCGGAAAACACGTTCCTGCTCTTTAGCACAGCTCAGCGTTTTTTTAAGGTGGCCTAACACTCTCCAATAGTGTATCCACTTTAAATCATGGCATCCACAAATCCGAAAATATTAAAATTACCTTAAATTCAAAATGGTGGCTCGAGAAACGCGAAGGACAACAGCTACACGCGATTAATTTTAAACAAAGGATTATAGTCAACAGAAGCTGAAAAACGTATAAAACTTAAATCATTTTAAAAATCCGACTGTGTCAAACACATTTCCATTAACTTCTCATGGAAAACCGCAAAACCGGAGTGTATCCGCCATTTTGGAGAAAAGGGGCGGTAGTGAGACTCACAAGCCGCACAGAAAAAAAAAAAAAGACCACCGGTTGCTAGCATTAGCATTAGCTTCCAACGGTTTTCCAGCGAGGATAACCACCCCGTCTGGCTAACCCGTTAGCTTTCTAAGCGCCAATTCCTGATTTGCTTTCTATTGGATTCATTCGCGGAAATACGTTTCAACTCCTAATCCGACATTTTGTCAAAATAAAATTAAGCTTAACTTTTTACGTTGTTACCATCCAAGGCTGAGCCCTTTTATATTTTCTACAAGTCAAATGACCGGTAGCAGGAAGCAGGCTAATTCTGATAGCTCCGTTAGCTACAGCATACAGACCACTGAAGTCATATCTGGAAACTGTCATAGTTTTCAAATTAGAAAAAAAATCAAGTTGTGACATACTATTTTCCCATGGAATTGAAGAAAATCTGCGTTTTAAGTGCTGGATGTTGTAAAGCAAAGCAGCACGCCTATCCCAGAAGATCTCGTGTCGGACCATGGCATACCATGTGTACCGCACTCATTCAACAAGGCCGGACCATGCATTTAAACATTTAGAGATTTAAAAAAAGGTGTTAATGCTTAACAGCCTAAGATAAAAAAGTAAAGAGACCATACTAACCGTTATGCTGTTAAAGGTGCCGCCTGCACTCGCTGCCCAGACATATTTGGCGTCCGTGTAGCCCATAATGGCCGCGTCCTGGCAGCTGCCATCAGCCATCAGGTTGTCCACGTAGCTTTGCCAGGACATGTTAGTGATATTAGTTCTAGGATGGGGAATAAAGCACGAGGAGTGAAGACAGATCGCGTTAGTGTCTTCAGAGAAGAAGAAGCGGTGTTTCTAATGGTTAGCGGGCCTCCAGCAATCAAAACCCCCGGCTCCGTCACGTCCCGGCTTTCTTTTGGTCTAGGCAACGAAGGGGAGCCGCTGCAAGCAGACACAAGGTTGGGTGTAGTCCTCACAAAATTACTACGCCAGGCGTTCTTCGCCCTGCTCCTTGAGTGCGTCATATACTTCATGGCGGATGAATACAACGACGGCAATAAGTTATACTGCCATTTTTTCCTCCAGAAATATTACGGTCTATTTTCTTGGGTTAGACTAGAATATGCACTACAAGACATTTGCCACTACCACTTACCATAACTTATTTATAATTAATTTTATTTTAGAGAAAATTAGAACAATTAATATATGAAGAAAACACAAAAGGAATTAAAAACATGTCAAACTACCCCTATTTTCTTTTTATTTGATTTGATTTTAATTGTATTCTTTACGTAATACACCTTTAGAACAAGAAATAGAAGAAAATAAGATTGGTATCCTAATTATTTACATGTATATAGTTTAAGATCAATCTTTGAGCTGAAGAGTGATTACCAATATTTTGCAAAGCTACACAAAGTGGATAGATTATGTGCAAATATTCCTCTGAGTTGTTCACTATAGGCTTTAAAGTATAAAGCTCCTTGTTATATAAGATAAGTAACAGGATTAATCATGGGCGTAGGTTTGCATAGGGACCAAAGGGACATGTCCCTACCAAATTTTTGGCCCGATCGACCTACTTGTCCATACCAATAATTCTATGTGAATAACATGTTTATAATTTACAATACAGCATTGTTGCAGCAGTTGCTTCTTTTCTCACAACTTGTATATTGAAGTCAACGTTTTAATTGCTCAGTGTCAGTTGCTGTTATATTTTCCACGCCAATGTAAATACAATAATAGTCCCTTGAATATGTTATTTTGCTTTGTTTTACAATACAGAACATATCAGATTAAAAAAAATAAGAGTGGGTTTTACCTCTGTTTACCTATGCATATTACCTATAGAAAATACACATACAAAATATATATTTAGACAATATTTGGTTTAAAAGGCATGTATTTACCTTCTGTCTTAGTCA